CAGTATCCATTAGACATGACTAACGAGATAACGAGAGTTAACGAGACTTAACGAGACAACCTCATAGATTTTCATAGAGATTTCGAAAATGCCTGAATTTTGCTTTATTGGAAAGCTGGTGTTTCTAGCTTTCATTTGATACCAAATACTCATCAACAACTTAAAATAGTCCCTTGAAAAATCTTACCAAAGTCGGGTATATAACTTGTCTCGTTAACGCACCTCTCTTATCGAGACAAACCATATATCGAGGCTTTGACAAGATTTTCCAGGGGACTGTTTTAAGAAGGACTGACAAAGAAGGATGATTGGAACCAAGCCTTCACGTGAAGGCCAGCTTCACAAAAATTTGCGTGTCCGAGGAAACGCGTGCCAAGATGTTCGCATATCTGAGTGCTACACTTATTGGGTTGGGGAGAATGAGTCGGCGCCAAACTTTAAAGGGACTTTTTGCACACATAAATCCTTCTTTAAACATACGTTTGGTTTCATCAAAAGGATCCACTATTTCTCTACAAAATCACTTTTGAGAGATTCCACAAAGCCTTTCTTTCGTGGAGTTTATGAACTTCCAAACGCAGCTGGTTAAAATGGCAAAGAGTCCGACTCATCATTTGAACAGTTTCTTTCACATAAACCTTCTTTGGTGTTTATATAAAAACGATAGAGCACATTCAATTACTTAAGTTGCCAAATTTGCAGGAAGATCCCACCAATGGTTTTTTCTAGATGACAGTTTGTAGTTTTTGTGAAAAAATGGCTTTTTCTTGAGGGGAGGCGCTGTTTGAATTTTCTTTTAAATGTCATTTTGTAGAGAATTAGTTAACCATTCTACTGATATCAAACGCATATTATTTGACGAAGTCGAATAGAAGTTTTAGACATTTTTTTGATTTTCGGCGCCGACTCATCCTCCCCAACCCAATAGATTATTATATTGAAGATTGTCATATCTAGTTTTAACCTTTTTAGAAGAATTGCTCATTTAAAGCCTGCAAAAGTGTTGTCAAGAAAAGTTTCACAAAAGAATTGAACGAAAGCCTTATCTGTTTCTTTTCATATTGATTGAATGTAGTGAATGAAAAAGAAGTTAAAGGACCAGCTCGGCTTTGTTTCACTTTTCAGAGCCAATCTCAGTGTTAAGGCTTTGACTCTGCCCCAAAAGCACCATTCTTAAGAGTGAAAATCCTCAGTAGATGAGTGGTGTAAAGGATTTTAATGAAATCTGATCGATTTTATACAAAGAGACGATAGAGTTCCAAAACACAGAGCCACTTATTTCTCGTTATATGAAAAGCTGAAACCGAAATGAAACTGTATTAGAGTGTCGAGAATTCAAAGTGGAGATCTAAATAGTATGTACGTAATTCTTCTCTTCACGCTATCCCCATATTGATTGATTCTGGTTTTGGGAGAAGTGAGAGGAAACACTTTACCTGATGAGGCGTTGTTGGTCCTTTGTCGATTCTGGTGATCGATGCTTCGGACCTTCCTCTCGCACGAATTCCTAAATCAAAGCATTAAATAAAATCAAGAAATAGAAAGAAAAACGAATGAAACAAACAAAAAACAACAAATCCTACATTTTTTACAGAAGAAAAGCTTCTCAATTTTCACATTGAACTCCCAAAAACACAGCTCAGCACTCATTTTTTTCATATTTCCCCCATTTTTATGAATACACCGGTTCTCCTGTTATGGCTTCCTTTCATTTACGGGTTTCCTTCATTTATTGGTACTCATTCGTTCTTTTCTCATCGTGTACATTTGTGAATTTTACAAACTTCGGTTTTTCTCTGCGTTTAGTAATAATAGATCAATGAGAATAATAAATTTCTTTGACTATGGATGTAAATGGATATCTACAGAACGAAAAAGAAACAGAAATCCTTTTAAAAGTCAGAGAAAATAGTGGAGAAACTAACACTAAGTAGTGCCTAGGTTTGGACACAGTAAACATGGCAATGTTTAATCCTTTAGAATAAATTTGAAAATTATAAAAGTTTCACTCCAAATCCCTTTTTGGTGAAAATCTGATTTATCTTATTTGTGTGTGTTCATCTGAAAATTACATTTATTACTGAGAGGGGGCAGAAAGTACGCTTTATGGGTGGTTTTGTGAACATTTCAAGAATGAAGGACGTGCAATTTCGATAAACATTTTATTGATTTGAAAAAACAGGTGGCATAAAGATGGATAGACCTCAAAAATTGGATTATATAGATACATATAGATACTTTATTCAGGACCTGAGATAAAGTGCGCTAGATTTAAGTTAAAACACATGAATTCATACACATAACACAAAAAGGGCCGATAAAAAGAAACACGATATAATATATGTAATATATGTGTAGCACAGATAACGTTAAGGGTCCACTAGAGCTTCAAGATCAAGATCATCTACAGATAATTTAAAGGTTTCGAGACTATTGGACCCTCTCAAAACTCTGGGGAGTCGATTCCAAATTCTGGCAGTTCTTATTGGAAAAGAGTTATAAACAAACTTATTGGAGGTGACTGGAATTTCTAAAACGAAAGAACCTCTCCCTGAACTAACCGTGGGATTAACTTTGAATAAATCTCGAAAAAGAGGGATAGGTTGCCAGCCCTTTACAGTTTTGAAACATTCTATTAAATCCGTGACCAAGCGGCAGTGTCTAAGAGATTTAAGATCAAAAATTTTAAGTCTATCTGTGTAGCTAAAGTTTGCAAATTTGGAAAAATCTATTTTCCATAGAGATATCTTAGTATATCTCTGCTGGATTTTTTCTAGGCGAGAAATATCAAGTTGTGTATGTGGAGACCAAACTATAGATGCATACTCTAGAATGGGTCTAACGTAAGTGATGAAACACTTTCTGTAAGTGTCAATTTTCGGATAACAAATTGCTTTTAGGACACGACTAGAGACAAAAGAAGCTTTACGGCAAATAATTTCAATGTGTTTTGAGAAATTTAAAGGTGGGGAAATATGGACTCCAAGATCTCTGATATAATCCTCTTTGCCAATTCTGATTAATGGTGTAGAATTTATTTTCAGCTGGAAAATAGCATTTCCGGTGGAGAAATGGCGGGATTTCGTAGACGCTAAAGCTAATTTCCAATTATGAGACCATTTTTCAACCAGATCAAGATCTGACATGGCGTCTCTTAAAGAAGCAAGCTTAGAGGCTTCATCTTTGATGGGGATTGTAAAGGTTAGTTTAGCGTCGTCAGCATAAAGCCAGATAGATGAGTCCCTAGATGAAAAATTTAATTCAGCTAAATCATTAATGTAAATTGTAAAAAGTATAGGACCCAGAATACTTCCTTGGGGTACACCGCTAGAGCAATTAAAGGAAGGGGAGAGAGAATCGTTTAGAAGAACTTTGAAAGTTCGCTGACTAAGGAAACTCTCAATAACTGAAATCATGGAGGGGCAGATTTTATATGCATGCAGTTTGTGAATTAAGAATTTAATAGGGACACAACACCAAAACAACACCGCCACCATACGATTTAGTGGAAGCACCTCTATCACATCTAATAACATGGTAGTAGCTAGGGTCAAGAATAGAGGAAACTAGAGAGTCATCTAGCCATGTCTCGGTAATAGCAAAAACATTTTTAGTGTTTTTTGCTAAGGTTGAAACGAACAATTAGGTAATATTGCAGCATGAATAGGTAGATGCAATGATTCACCCCTACGCTTTTTGGTCATAAAAAATTCATCAACAAAAATAGCACTAAACCAAATCGAAGGGGTTTCCTTCGTAAATCGTTGCACAAAGACAGTTTCAGTAATACAGATTCATGAATAAATATGGCAATTTGATATGGAGAGTGAATAAAAGCAAGAGATAAGGCCTTCCTGGTTCAAGACCTTGACTCTTTTCAAACGTAGTCCAATAATATTTGTTTGTTGACTCGACCAATCTTGCAATATGACTTGAAAAATTCAATTTTGGCTCTTTGTTCATTTTGATTATCTAACCACCGCTCTTCGATATGTCTTCATTAATAAGGGCTTCGACCTAAAAACGTAACTCAAGGACTTAAAAGTAAATAAACTCTGCCAAATGATAAGTGTAACTAGATGTAGTGTTTCGCAGAGCTCAATTCAGAGCTGAATCTTCAAGGATTAGATGTTTAGTCTAGCTGGATAGAAAAATGAAAAAGGCATAACGGCTAGCTGGATAGAAAAATTGTTTATGAGAAGTTAAAATTTAAATCTTAAAGGCTAATAGAGTAGTAATGCCTGAACGCGTGTTACTTCTTGAAGTGAGTTATAAATCTCTTGAGCAACCTGTTAAAATGTTGCTATGAGTCTAGGGACTCTAAATATACGCATGAATGTTACAGACAATAACTGGTAAATTTTATTGCAATGCTTGTGCTTTTCAAAAAAGGCACTTTGCCCGAGGTCAATTCTAGGCTCTGGGACTAAAATCAAATTCGAGGAAAACAAAAGTATTGAATGAGCTGATCGGGTTCCGTTTATTGTTATCATATCCGTCTGCTTTTCTCCAAACGCAGAATCAATCAATCCGGGAATAGAGTGGAGAGAAGAAGAGATAAGGCAGCCCTTTCTTGCAAAAGTTTTTGGCCTCACCTTCCAGCTGCTTTTCGAATTTTCATTTCATTTTTGATATCAACTTTCATTCATTAGTTGTTTAGGTTAAAGCCTTATCTGTGAGAAATGACAACATCTGATCAATTTGAATTCGGAGAGTGTATTGGGGAAGGAGCATATGGAGAAGTGCATGAATGGATTGGACACGAACCGTTGGTTATTTTGGATCTATTCACTATTTGTTCAATATTAGTCCTTTGTAGAGGTTGTATTGTACCATAAGCTTCTTTGTTTAGCCCAGCTGTGATCAAATATATGTTTTGTGGTAGTGATGCACAATTGAAGATCCTCAAAATTGAATGTGAAGCTTTGAAGAACATCTATCATGTGAATGTTGTCCGATTGTATCGACATATAGAAGAAGAAAAAAGAGTGGGACTTGTAATGGAATATTGTCCGAAGGGACCACTCAAGGGAGGTTGGGGTTGGACTGGTATTGTTATATCTTGGAGTTTAGTGATCCTTGATCCAACAATTACATATTCAATGAACACTGTCCTCACATGGGGAATCCAACTATTTGATGCCATTGATCACATGTATCAGAAACAAAAATTGCTACATCGAGGTATCAAACCAGACAAGTAATATTCAGTGGTATAAATGTCGAAGTTCAGTTCATCTATAGCATTTTTGTGACCAATGATTACAAGCTGAAGATTGGTGACTTCGGATTGGTAAAATTAGTGGAAGATGGAACTGTTACGGGAACGTTTATTGGAACACCACGATATATGAGTCCACCTGATATGAAGGAGGATGGGGTACAACGGGATGTTTATGAACAATTAAAGGAGGCTGATGTATCGGTTAGTTTTACATTCATCTCTATCCAATGATAAGATATATTCGTTTCAGAACTCCCATCGAAATGATGTCTACAGTCTGGGACTTGTTATGTGGGAAATGGTCGAGAGGAGGTATTTGAAGCTCTTGTAATGACCTAAAAGTGCGAATTTCAAGTTATTGACTACATAGAAATACTGCACATTATTGATTGCTGATTGAGCTTTCTTTGAAATCAAGATCATGACTTGATGGTTTCGGAGAAAATATCATTTTCAGACGGGTCTTCTCTCAGTATGACAGAAAAGGAGTCTTCGATCGGGATGTTCTATTGATTGAGATTGCATTGAAACGTTGTCTTGAAATCGAACTACCAAACTGCCAATCCGAACTTCAAGAAATTATTCTAAGGTACTTTCTTAAATTGTGAGCTTGAGCAGTACTTTCAGGTGTACAAGTTTTCGACGCTTCCGTAGGCCGATTGCGGGTGATGCTTTGTGGCTTCTTCGAAGGATCGCAAAGGTCAGTACATTTGATGATCAAGGGTATAATTAATATAATCTAGGACGATCCTTTCATCTCAACATTATCTTTTTTACCAAAAGAAAACAAACAACAAAAGTCTCTGATTAGACCGATTGGTTTTAATGGGGAGATAGATGAGATTGTCGTCGTTTATCATCGAGAGGGAAAAGAAATCTTTCAACTCTCCGACGCCACTTTAACGAATAACGAGAGCATTCGAGCGATCGCAAAACTTGAAGAGTTTGATAGATCAATTACAATAGGTCGTGGCGGTTATGGGACAGCGTATTTGCATATTACAAAAAATGGACAGTGGGCTTTTTAAACTTTCAGCAATAATTCCTGATCGAAATGTTGTTTTCTTTTGAATAATCAATTTGTTTGTTGTAACAGAAAAACACAATAACTGATAACGGGTCTTTTATTGATAAGCGCAATTGCTTTATAAACTATTAATTTACTATTCACCCCAGGAGACAGCCATAGGCCATACTAAACGCTTATCCCTCATAGGCAGACGGTCATCAAAGCCATCGGGTGCCAAGATCTTCCCAACCGAAAAGATCGCCAAAAAGAATACGAGATACTAGCGATGTTGAGGCATCAGAATGTCATCGAACATCACAAAACGTGGGCGCTTAGCGAGAAGGAAATTGGAATCGAAATGGAATATTGTGATCGAGGAACGCTAAAAGATGGTTTGGCGTTTTACTTTGGAACCATGGAAATGTGCATACTAATCACTAACTACTGGTCTACGTTTCAAATAGTGTGTTTTTGAGCAAAATGGCAAAAAGCTTTCAATACAGTACTTTAAACGTATAACTTTTAGTGGTACTCAACCCAAAAATCGTTTATTCAATGGGACAAGTGATCGTTTGGGCCAGGGGCATTTTTGGGGCCCTTCACTATATCTTCAGGAAACATAGAGTGATTCATCGGGACATCAAACCGGAAAAGTAATCAGGGGCCCAATAAATCTTAGTGCTAAAACGACTTTATAGCATTTTTGTGAACAATACCTTCGACCCAAAACTTGGAGATTTTGGGATAGCGCGAGAAGTCGATGAGACTCTCACCGCAACAAAAATCGGAACGCAGCGATACATGAATCCAGACGTAAATAATCTTTCCAAGGTAAGAAGCAGCTAATTCTCCTGTCTGTGATATTGAGTCTTGACATTAATTTTAGGCATCTCATCGAAACGACGTTTATTCGATGGGGCTCGTGTTGTGGGAGATTATTGAGAGAAGGTGCAAACAATAGCTTTAATACACTCTCATAAGAAAAGCCTAAATATGCATTTTGACATCAAATCTATTTCTTTCTTGCTTTTGCCCTCTTTCTCGTTGGCAAAGAATGTTTCCGGCAGCTTAGTGGGTAGAGCATTAGCGGCTCAAGCAGAAGACGAGGGTTCGAATCCCACTCCAAAACTTTCTTTTCAAAATTTATTGATTTTTTAAAGCACCGTGTTCATCGAGTACGGCAAGAAATTTGAGCGAGACCAATTCATAATCGATATTTCCAATGGCAAACTGACTGAATTAATCCAACCCGAATCTCCGCGGCCAATTCAAGAGATCGTGAAAAAGTATGAAGTTGAAGTACGGAGCTTAATCATTTATTACAGATGCACCGTTTTCGATTCTCGAAAAAGACCTATTGCCGGAGAGATTGTCGAGCAGCTGAAGCAATTGGATGAGGTGGGTGATTGAATGGAAGCTGTATGTTATATTTAGGAATTTAGGAAAAAAAGATTTTAGGCGGGAATCTAACCTTCATTTGTCAGAAAGAAAGGGGGAATAAGAAAGAAAAAACAAAGAAGGAAATACCTGATATTATTCAGCCGTGAGCTCCGGCTCTACTTGAAGAATAGTCCACCAGGCATTATTAATAAAGAAGTTAGGCAATTCGGCAAAGAAAGCTTTCAAGCCGTCAGTGAGCATGTTGCCAGAAGGATTCATATTTTGAAAAAATTCGCTCAAGACTAAAACTAAGTAAGTGCACTCATTTTAGAGTTTTATCTTGAAATACACTTTATAGGGATTACTTAAAGTGGTTATTGCGATAAGAAACTTTGGGAAATAAATTTTTCAACTTATAGAGAGGATTTGTCCCGACAATGATAGAAGAAGACGAGCAAACGAGTGAGCTCATACGCCCGATTGGTTTCAACGGAGGCCATGAAAGAGTGCCGGTGCCTAAGAGAACAACCAAAGATCACCCCGAGCCATACTCCCAGTCATCCTACGCAAAGGCTCAACTTTACAGCGATTGAGTTTTAGTGTTCCGTCAGAGGAGATTAAAAGTTTTTGAGTGTTGTTTTTTCTGATAAGTGCCCATTGATATGAATAAAGTCTGATGCAATGTAAATTTTTGCAAACTAAAAATGAATTTTTTTTTGATCGAATCGGATCCGAGTCCGATTGGATCTGATCTGATTGGATGTCTAATTCACAAGAAACCGCCGTAAGGACAAATGGCGAGAAAATGCTGGAGCTGGCAAGACTTTTCACACGCCCGAAATAAGAGGATTCAAAAGAAAAATCGAATCAACAGAATAAAAACGGTAAACTATCTTGCTTCACCAATTAGTAAATTGAAGACGGGAGGAGTTGAGGGATGAATGGCCGCAATTTTTAACCTATCTTTTTTGTGATCTGATCCTTTATTCTGTTTCATTTTTGATTGAAATTATTGAGATTTAGTGAAAATGAAAAATTGAAAAATATTGCAAAAGCATCAACTATTAGAATATAATCAGAATACGTTCACGAAGTCTTAAAGTAGGCAGAGAAACTTCAGCCAGTCTCGGGTGTCTCCGGCTCGATGAATTGAAACACACTCTTGTTGAAACACGTAAGGAATGCTGAGATTCAGGGGTAAAAACGGCAGCAAGCAATCGTTCAAGTCATCAATATAGTCAAAACGATTCATCCAATTCAAAACCATCCTGAGATGATTTACGACGATGATGATTTACGAGCTTCACGAGCTTTATTAGATATGTTCTTTGCAGTTAGTCCGCTGGCCGAGAAACGGGAACCCGTGCTCAACGATTTCCCTGAAGCGCTTCGTCACTTTCAACTCGAGCAAACGATTGCTGACATCTCAGCAAGCGAACTGGTCGACTTCACGATCAAGATCTACATCAGTGCTGAGGTGGCAAGGAGAGAATTCGCGAAAGGATTCGACAATTTCTCTATATAGTTAACAGTTGTGCCTAGATTAAACGGCTAATACTTTAAGGTTCAGCTCTGAACTGAGCTCTGTGAAACACTACATCTAGTTACACTTATCATTTGGCAGAGTTTATTTGCTTTTAAGTCCTTGGGTTCGGTTTTTAAGAAGACTTCTCACTAATGAAGCCACATCGAAGAGCCGTTGTTAAATAATCAAAATGTACAAAGAACCAAAATTCAATTTCAAGTTATATTGCTGAATAGGATTCGCCGAGCCAACAACAAAAAGCTTATTTGGCTGCGTTTGAAAAGAGTCGAGGTCTTGAACAAAGCCGCGCTTTTATTCGCTCGCGATTACAACCGGCCGCATATGATTCTGAACCTTTCTTTCTGAAACCGTCTTTGTGCAACGATTTCCGAAGGAAACCCCTTCGTTTTGGTTCAGTGCTATTTTTGTTGATGAATTTTTTAGGAACAAAAAGCCTAGAGGTGAATCATCGCATCTACCATTTATGCTGCAATATTAATTAATTTTTCGTAGGCGTATCTTTTTCAAGTATATTCTTATTGTTCATATGGCCAAAAGAACTCGAAAGAAAAGTTAGCCTTAGCAAAAAGCACTAGAAATGTTTTTGAAGGCGAAGCTGTCATCGTCATTAGACGTACTGTAATCTATCAATCTACGAATCGAAACATAAACTTCAAGTGTGCTATATTGCCAACGTTAAAAGCTAGAACATATATAGCACATGTCAACGGTGCCATTAATATTGTTTTATTATTTGGAATGCTTTGAGTTGATGTGTCGAATTAGCACAACAAGGGAGATGAACGCGCATTCTAATGATAAAATCCTCCGAGATGGTTTATTGAAAAAAGCCTTTCTGTTTTAGCGGCTCAAAAGATTGCTACAATAATAGCATTCTCTGGTCGAATTCCTCTTTGTCATCTTTGTCATGCCGTCTCTTTCTGCTTCAAGTAACACTTTTCTTATTAAAGATATTAATTCAAAATCATATTTTAGACAAAATATGATTACTGTAACCCAGTTTTAGATGCAAATTAGATTATTCTAGGCTCGGAGCTGTCTTCGTTGTGGACTTGTTCTACTTGACTCGGCAAAAGACTCGCTGTCGGCTTTGTTGGATAAGTATTGGGTTGGTGGGTATGACTTGACACGATCTTTGAAATGAAATTTTTCTTCAATTAACATCTTCAAATCTAGCGAGAAATTTGCCATTATTTTGTTTAATTTGTGTCTGTTTTACTGGTAGAAGTCGAATGCCTCTCGTAGAAAATCTTCGGGTTTGTCGCAATCTATCAGCTATTTTCTGATTTCTTCTTTGGAATCAAAGTGTTTGTTCGCCAAATCATTGATCATGGCCCGGAATAAGTAGTAATCAGAAGATGCAAGATCATGGCTGCATGCTGGATGGGCCATCATCTGCCATGCAAGTGAGAACGAGTCATCTTCGAAACCTGCAGTCTAGCATTATCAAGTTGAAGAATGATTTTTCTCTTTAGGGTCTTTTCTCTGGAAAAGTTTCGGCTGGCTTGTCTAGTTGTCCAGAATTTTGATTAAGTTGAGTGTGGTCTTACCATCCAAAGGTTCCCAGTAGATAGGCTCTTCCAAATCCCAGAACACAGAGGGCATAAACTTCTTCTCATGCACATTTGGCTTGACATCGGGTTGAGGCTTTCCCCTCTCAGCAAGCCATTGGCGCCTTCTCCCCAAGTTGAGAGTTAGAATCCATTTTTATCCGTCGTCACAATGCGGGGTAAAAAAGATTTGCGCTCGTATCAAGAACGATGAGCGGCACAGATTTCTGACACATTGCCACTTTTGGATGTTCGTTAAATCATGTGGAATCCAAGCCTCTAATACGGTTTAAACCCAAGTGTATGCAATGTTCGAGTATTATTGTATGATCAACTGATGACTCTTCTGCTATTTCGCGAAAAGAAAGCCTGGATGACCCTCCGTTCGTCTTTGAAGATTCAACCCCAGAACGGAATTTAACAAACCAGTTTGCACATGTCCTTTTTTGAATCTTGAAACAATACTTGGTGTTTCTTTGTAGAATTGGTCTCTTTCAGCAGAATTTAGTGTTCCGATTTATCTCGCATTATTGAAGTGATCCTTTTCATACCTTCATGATCTATATCCTTATCGAATCTCTTTATATATTTTCTTTCCTCGGATTCAACCATAACTCATTCTGTTCAAATCCGATTGGTTTCATCAGTTCTTTTTGGTTCTTATCTTCTGTGGGCATAAAAGGGAGTGAAGAGATGAGTTCATATATTTGAGAAAGATGAAATTTGAAAAAATAAATTATTTACTCATTTTACCATTAAAATAAAATTTTCTGAAATGTTAAGGCTAGCTATTTTAAAGTTTCCCTAATATATTTCGAAAGAAGGAAGAACTTTAGTGATGGAACACGGATTTACATGCCATGTGAACATCAATCAACTTGAATTCGGCCGTTCTCAGCTATTCTAACAGAAAAATTTTAAAGGAAAAAGTTTAACGGATTTATGTTTTTCACAGAGAGTCCCAAAATATAATTTTTTTTCATTTGGTCTACCGGCTCAACTGTATTTGGTTTTGCGCCCTGTTTTACGTCGAAGTTCTGTGATTTTTAGTCTAAAAAGGAGAAATTTGTTTGAAAATTCGTTCTGGTTTAATTCTAGTAAGTTTTTAGTGATTGGTAGGGTTATTGAGATGTTGATTTACAGCCTTATTATATATATTTTTGGTTATTCTGCGGGCCGAGAAGTGGGAGCCCGTGCTCGAGGCCCATTTTAAAAGTTTAAAATGGCCGTTAGGGTTTAATGTTCGAGTTTAGTTTATCCTAACTACCCCATTGGTCGATTTCAACTTATAGGTAGATGACTAAAAACATACAGGCCTAGAAAGTCTCTTTGCTATATGAATGCTTTTATCTGACTGGTCAGGTGATCTGAATATTTATGTTTTATCTTCTCATAAGCAATTGTTCTATACAGCTAACCGTTGTGCTTAGACTAAACAGCTAATCCTCGAAGATTCAACTGAGCTCTGCAAATCACGAAATCTAGTTACACTTATCATTTGGCAGAGTTTATTTACTTTTAAGTCTTTGAGCTTTCAACCAAGAAGACAAAGTTTTGGATTCACATGTTTAATGCAGCCAGCTTTGCCAACATATTTTTCAAGACCAGCAAACGCTTCGACAAACGGGCACCTGCCTAAAATTGATGTTGGAGTATTAAAAGAATATTTGCAATAGTCAATGTCCAAAGAGAGGGTCTATGCTTTGATGAAGAGTGATGGATGGACACCCTACATCCGCTTGATTGATTATTAAGGGGATCCAGAGATTGAATGGCTTATGTTTGAGAATGTGGCCGAATTCGGCTTCCTATTCACGGACCAAAAGGAGAAGCTAGCCTTAGTAGTTGAAGATAAAGAAGTCGCTAAAAAGAAAGACAAAAGAGAAAATGCTTATTGCTCTGTGTCCTAACCCTAGTCTTCCTGACCCCACAATTTCCAGAGTTTTTATTTTACTAGTCCAATTTTTAAACTCTATCCATCTTTATGCCACTTGTTTTATTTTCTTTTACTTCAAATGAATCTTTTTTTGTGAAACAATAAAGTATTTATCCAAATGGAAAGTAGTTCATTTTTGAAATGTTCGTAAAACCCACCATAAAACCTACTTTCTGCCCACTCTCAGTAAGAAATGCAATTTTGAGTTTAACACGCACAAATAAGGGAAAGCTTTGAAACCAGACTTTGACCAAAAGGAGAATTGGAATGAAGCCTTTTTATTGCGACAGGAAAACCGCTCTCGATCACCATGTGGGAAGCAAACTTGCGGAGAAATTTGGATAAAACGGATCGACGCTCAAACTTGATGCTCAAACTTGATGCTCAAACTTGATTGCTGTAAAACACCGATTTGCGATCACTTGTATTTTTCTTTTAATTCAGAGTCAATTAACTTTATTAGCCTCATTTATATGTTACGTACATATTTTTGCCATATTGCTTTCTTCATGACATCACTTATCTAAAAAGACTTTCTGGAAAGGATTGGCTTTGAAAAATGACGACGATTGGGTAGTTGAACTGGCTTTGATTTTAACATAATGAGCTGAAAGGACATCACCTAATCAACTTGAGTTTTTGAACTGATTGGGTAATTGAACCGATTGCGCTGAGTGAGTGCCAAAGATACGCCTACGAACAATTAATTAATATTGCAACATGAATTGGTAGATGCTATGATTCATCCCCACGCTTTTTGGTCATAAGAATACATCAACAAAAATAGTACTAAACCAAATCGAAGGGATTTCCTAGGTAAATCATTGAACAAAGACAATTTCAGAAAGACAATTTCAAAATCATACATGGCAATTTGATAGGGCGAGCGAATACAAGCGCGAGATAAGGTTTTGTTCAAGACCTCGACTCTTTTCAAACGCCGCCAAATTAGGTTTTTTTTGTTGGCTGGACGAATCCTATTCAGCAATATAACTTGGAATTCAATTTTTTTCTTTGTACATTCTGATTGTTTAACCACGGCTCTTCGATAAGTTCAAGAACATGAGACTTTTCAAACGCCGTCAAATAATATTTTTTTGTTGACTCGTCGACTTGTCGAATCGTTGAATCGTTGAGCACGGGCTTCCATTTCTCGGCCAGCGGACTAACTGAAAAGAACATATCTAATAAATCTCGTGAAGCTCGTAAATCATCATTATCGTAAATCATCTCAGGATGGTTTGGAATTGGATGAATCGTTTTGACTATATTGATGACTTGAACGATTGCTTGCTGCCGTTTTTACCCCTGAATCTCAGCATTCCTTCCGTGTTTCAACAAGAGTGTGTTTCAATTCATCGAATTATCGAATCTCTTTATATATTTTCTTTCCTCGGATTCAACCATAACCCATTCTGTTCAAATCCGATTGGTTTCATCAGTTCTTTTTGGTTTTCATCTTCTGTGAGCATAAAAGCGAGTGAAGAGATGAATTGATTTGCCTAGGTTATTATATTTGAGAAGTATAAAATTTCAAAAAAGGAAACTTGCTCAACGATTCGGTTGGGAAGTATGCAACTTCGCAGATTCCCATTTACTCCTAGTTACTCATTTAGAATAACCTCTAAAATCAATAGAATTTTCATGGTTTATGTAGAATTCTTAGGACTACCATATCTCCGGACAAACATCTCCTAAATAAGTGTTCTCAGCGTAAACTGCCCACTCTCAGGCATACAGCCGGCTATGTTTCGTTCCATTACCCAAGTATTAAATGTATTTCTAAAAACTAACTCGCTTTTCTGCAGTATTTTTCTGGTTCTTTAAACTACGAAATTTCCCTTTACTCCTATTTACTTGTTTTGCCATTAAAATGGATAGAATAGAAACCAAAGATAGCTATGCCAGAGAGTAGGCTTTTGGGCAGTCCACTCAGAGAACGCTTATTTTGGAGCTGTTTGTCCGCAGATCGGCGTGAAAATGATCCAAACATCTCCAAAATAGGCGTTATCCGATGAAAACTGCCTAAACGCCGATTTGATTTTTTTGAACCCCCTTATTTTGCGCGAGTGAAAAGTTTTGTCAGCTTCTCGTTCTCTCGCCATTTGTCCTTACGCCGGTTTCTTGTAATTAGACATCCAATCGGATGGGACCAATCGGATCCGAACCGATTGCACCAAAAAAATTCACTTACACTGCATCAGCTTTTATTCATGTCAATGGACACTTATCAGAAAAAACAGTGGTCAAAAACTTTTAATCTCCTTTGACGGAACACTAAGACTCCATCGTTGTGAAGTTGAGCCCTTGAGTAGTAGACTGGATGGATGGCCTGGGGTGATCTTCGGTTGGTCGCCTTGGCACCGGCACTCTTTCATGGCGTCCGTTGAAACCAATCGGGCGGATGAGCTCACTCATTTGCTCGTCTTGTTCGATAAATGTCGGGAAAAATCCTCGCTATAAGTTGAAAAATTTATTTCCCAAAGTTTCTTATCGCAACAACCACTTTAAGTAATCCTTAGGAAGGTTATTTCGTGAAAAAACTCTAAAGTGAGCGCACTTACTTAGTTTTTGTCTTGAGCGAATTTTTTCAAAATATGAATCCTTCTGACAACATGCTCACTGACGACTTGAAAGCTTTCTTGGCCGAATTGCCTAATTTTCTTTATTAATAATGCCTGGTGTACTATTCTTCAAGTAGAGCGGAAGCTCACGGCTAAATAATATCTGAATAATATATCATAATTTCCTTCTTTGTTTTTTTTTCTTTCTTATTCCCCCTTCCTTGTTGACAAATAAGAGTTAGGGTAAGAGCGGCTAAAGGAGGGGGCGGTTTCGATTCCGGCCTAGAACCTTTTTTCCAAATTTCCTAAGCAGAACATACAGCTTCCGTTCAATCACCCACCTCATCCAATTGCTTCAGCTGCTTGACAATTTCTTTGGCAATAGGTCTTTTTCGATAATCGAAAACGGTGCATCTGTAATAAATGGTAAAGCTCCGTACTTCAACTCCATACTTTTTCACGATCTCTTGAATTGGCCGCGGAGATTCGGGCGGGATTAATTCAGTCAGTTTGCCATTGGAAATATCGATTATGAATCGGTCTCGCTCAAATTTCTTACCGTACTCGATGAACACGGTGCTTTAAAAAATAAATAAATTTTCGAAAGAAAGCTTTGCAGTGGGATTCGAACCCCCGCCTTCGGCTTGAGCCGCTAATGCTCTACCCACTAAGCTGCCGGAAACATTCTTTGCCAACGAGAAAGAGGGCAAAAGAAAGAAAGAAATAGATTTGATGTTAAAATGCATATTTATTAAAGCCATTATTTGCACCTTCTCTCAATAATCTCCCACAACACGAGCCCCATCGAATAAACGTCGTTTCGATGAGATGCCTAAAATTAATGTCAAGACTCTCAATATCACAGATGCGAGGATTAGCTGCTATTTACCTTGGAAAGATTATTTACGTCTGGATTCATGTATCGCTGCGTTCCGATACACGTTCCGGAGAGAGTCTCATCGACTTCTCGCGCTGTCCCAAAATCTCCGAGTTTTGGGTCGAAGGTGTTGTTCACGAAAATGCTATAACTCGTTTTAACACTAAAGTTTATTGGGCTCCTGATTACTTCTCCGGTTTGATGTCCCGATGAATCACTCTATGTTTACTGAAGATATAGTGAATGGCGCCAAAAAGGCCCATGGCCCAAACAATCACTTGTCCCATTGAATAAACGATTCTTGGGTTGAGTACCACTAAACGTTATACGTTTAAAGTACTGTACTGAAAGATTTCTTGCCACTTTGCTCAAGAAACGCAGACCAGTAGTTAGTGATTAGTATGCACATTTCCATGGTTCCAAAGTAAAACGCCAAACCATCTTTTAGCGTTCCTCGATCACAATATTCCATTTCGATTCCAATTTCCTTCTCGCTAAGCGCCCACGTTTTGTGATGTTCGATGACATTCTGATGCCTCAACATCGCTAGTATCTCGTATTCTTTTTGGCGATCTTTTCGGCTGAGCAGATTTTGGCAATCGATGATTTTGATGACCATCTGCCTATAAGAGATCAGAGTTTAGTAGGGTCTATGGCTGTCTCCTTGCTGAAAGTTTAAAAACCTCACTTTTCATTTCTTGTGACTAAATGCGCTGTCCCATAACCGCCACGACCTATTGTAATTGATCTATCAAACTCTTCAAGTTTTGCGATCGCTCGAATGCTCTCGTTATTCGTTAAAGTGGCGTCGGAGAGTTGAAAGATTTCTTTTCCCTCTCGATGATAAACGACGACAATCTCATCTATCTCCCCATTAAAACCAATCGGTCTAATCAGAGACTTTTGTTGTTTGTTTTCTTTTGGTAAAAAAGATAATGTTGAGATGAAAGGATCGTCCTAGATTATATTAATTATACCCTTGATCATCAAATGTACTGACCGTTGCGATCCTTCGAAGAAGCGCCAAAGCATCACCCGCCGTCGGCCTACGGAAGCGTCGAAAACTTGTACAGCTGAAAATACTGTTCAAGCTCACTATTTAAGAAAGTACCATAGAATGATTCCTTGAAGTTCGGATTGGCAGTTTGGTAGTTCGATTTCAAGATAAGGTTTCATTACAATCTCAAACAATAGAACATCCCGATCGAAGACTCCTCCTCTGTCATACTGATGGAAGGCCCGTCTGAAAATGATATTTTCTCCGAAACCATCAAGACATGGTCTTGATTTCAAATAAAGTTCAAACAGCAATTAATAATGTGCATAATTTCTATGTAGTCAATAACTTGAAACTCGCACTTTTAGGTTATTGCAAAAGCTTCAAATACCTCCTTTCGACGATTTCCCACATAACAAGTCCCAGACTGTAGACATCATTTCGATGGGAGTTCTGAAACGAATATATCTTATCATTGGATAGAGATGAATGTAAAACTAACCGATACATCAGCCTCCTTTAATTGTTCATAAACATCCCGTTGTACCCCATACGACTTTATATCAGGTGGACTCATATATCGTGTTGTTCCAATAAACGTCCCCGTAATAGTTTCATCATCTTCCACTACTTTTACCAATCCAAAGTCACCAATCTTCAGCTGGTATTCATGGGTCACAAAAATGCTATAAATGAATTGAACTTCTACATTTATACCAATGAATACTACTTGTCTGGTTTGATATCTCGATGAACCAATCCGTGTTTTTGATACATGTGATCTATGGCATCAAATAATTGGATTCCCCATGTGAGAACAGTGTTCATTGAATAGTTGATTTTTAGGTTGAAAATTACTAAACTGTAAACTTAAAGAATATAATTTTAATCTCAACCATCTCTGAGGGATCCCCTCTGGCAATATTCCATTACAATCCCCAATTCCGCTCCATTCTCTTCTATAGATAACATGCTCACTACATTTGCATGATCAATGGTCTTCAATGCTTCATATTCATTCTTGGACATCTGACGAGCTTTCTCATTCTGGCACGCTATGTACTTGATCACAGCTGGGCTAAACAAAGAAGCTTATGGTAACAACCTCTACAAAAGACTATATTGAGCATAGCAGTGAATGGATCCAAATAACCAACCGTTCGTGTCCAATCAACTCATACACTTTCCCCATTGCTCCCTCCCCAATATAGCGTTGAACCAATTGATTGAATTTTGTCATTTCTCACAGATAAGGTGTTACCTTAAAGAATTAATAATAAAAAATATAAAAGAGGAGATGAAATGAAAATTCGAAAAGCGGCCAGAAGGTGAGGGGAAAAACTTTTGTAAGAAAGGGATGCCTAATCTCTTTCTTCTCTCCACTCTTTTCTCATTTTGATTGATTCTGGGTGTTGGAAAGGGGTGCGGGATATGGCAAAAATGAACTGAAACCGCTTAGTTCATTCAATACTTTTCAAATTTTTCTTAAATTTGAGCTGAGTCCCAGAGGGATTTAAGAATTCTGCTAACAATAAACCTAGCCTAGCCAAATGCAGAAAATACGATTTTGCGCATTTCGTTTGCTGACTCAAAACTTATTTTGCGCCCTGTTTTTGTTTGAAGCACTGTAAATAGTGGTTGAAAAAGGAGAAATGTGATTGAAAAATTATTCTGGTTTAATTGTGGCAGGTTCTTCGTGATTAGTAGAGTTATTGAGATGTTGATTTACAGCTTCATTATCTATTTTCTTTTTGGTTCTACTGCTGGCCAAGAAATGGAAGCCCGTACTCAACGCCCATTCTAAAACTTTAAAATGGGTCCTTTTCTGGTGTACATATTTCATTTATAACGTGATTTTCTTGTTAGAAGCCCAATCATTCACACAGATATACACAGCCAGAGCTAAATGTTCGAACTTAGCTTATCCTAACTACAATATGGATAGATTTATGCCTAAAACGCCTAAAAGCTGCCTCAAAATATCCAGGCCTCAAAAGTCTCTCTGCTACATACAGGGTAGCTAATAAGTGTTGTTGCGTGCTTGAACGCGGGTTATTTCTTGAGATTCTGTTAATTCGCGTGATAGTTCTTGAGAATTCCGGATCTCATGAGCGACATAGCAAAATGTTGCTAAGAGTCTAGGGAATCTAAATTTATGCATGGCTCATATTTGGCTGGCTTTTGGACACCTCTTTGTTTGCTTTTTTTAAGAGAGGAAAAATGAGAGCCACAAAGTACATTACAGTTTTTTATAATCGTCACTTGGAGCCAAATTCCAAATTATTTCAGAAAGGAAACATTTAGCACAACATTTAGGATTTTAGCACAACATTTAGCAAAATTTAAAAAGCTAGCTGGATAAATACAAATTCTACTTGTATGAAAAGCTTAGAATTGACCTCAGGCAAATTGTCTTTCTTGAAAAGCACAAGAATTGCAATAAAAGTCATTGTCTCAAAAATTCAGGCATATATTTAGATTTCCTACACTCTTAGCAACATTTTAGCAGGTTGCTCATGAGATTTGTAAATAGCCTCGAGAAGTAACACGCGTTCAAGCATGCGACATTACTGATTAGCCACCCGGTAGATGCCCTGATTATCATTTGGCAGAGTTTATTTACTTTTAAGTCCTTGAGTTACGTTTTTAAGTTAAAGCGCTTTTTAATGAAGACATATCGAAGAGCCGTGGTTAAACAATCAGAATGTACAAAGAAAAAAAATTGAATTCCAAGTTATATTGCTGAATAGGATTCGTCGAGCCAACAAAAAAAACATTATTTGGTGGCGTTTGAAAAGAGTCGAGGTCTTGAATAAAACCTTATCTCGCGCTTTTATTCACTCGCCATATCAAATTGCCATGTATGATTTTGAATTTGTCTTTATGAAACTGTCTTTCTTCAACGATTTACTAAGGAAACCCTTTCGATTTGTTTTAGTGCTATCTTTGGATCGTTTTTTAGTGCTATCTTTGGATCGTTAGATCAATTTTTATGACCAAAAAGCGTGGGGATGAATCATCGCATCTACCATTCATGCTGCAATATTAATTAGTTTTTCGTAGGCGTATCTTTTTCAAGTTGGTGTATATTGTTATGGTTCATATGGCCAAAAGAACTCGAAAGGAAAGTTAATCTTAGCAAAAACACTCAAAATCTTTTTTGAAAGCGAAGCTGCCATGTGTGAGACGTTTTGTCCTTTAGGCGACGAAAATTACACCGTAATCTATCAATCTACGAATCGAAACATAAACTTCAAGTGTGCTATATTGTCAACGTTAGAAGCTAGAACATATATAGCACATGCCATCGATGCCATTAATATTGTTTTATTATTTGGAATACTTTGGATTGATGTGTAAAATTAGCGAAACGAGATGAATGCACAATCCTATGATGAAATTTCGCGAGATGGTTTAATAAAAAAGCTTTTCAGTTTTAGTAGCTCAAAATATTTCTTTTCGATCGGTTTTAAACATTTTAAACATTCTAACAAAAAAATATTATTTGGCTGCGTTTGAAAAGAGTCGAGGTCTTGAACAAAGAAGGTCTTATCTCTGGCTTTTATTCACTCGCCATACCAAATGCCACATGTGATGCTGAACTAGTCTTTCTGAAGGTCTTTGTCCCGATAACTAATTTTAGCGTTACTTCCTAATTCTCCAGAACAAAATGTGAGCAACTGTACAGAAATGAATTGGGTAGAAATGGAAAAGGGAACTTTTTGAATTGGTGAGCTATGAGCAATTTTGACGGATTCTCAACATCATTTTGAAGTCAAATGTCAAAGTCGATGAAGTCAAATGATAAGATCCCAAATTACAATCACAAAACCATAGCTTACAATAGGCGCAACCAACTAGGCTCCTCTTGTAGGAAATAAGCTAGAGGGTAGACATTAGACAAGAGAATCGGACCGGACCAGATCAGTCCGACCTTATCTGTTAGTCATGGTTATTTGGCTTACAAACTATCCTGGTTCTCCTGTTAACCTAAGACTGACTCTACATCTGACTACAAGATTAAGGAAGTTCTCAAAAGTGGTCATTCCTTAGAATGAATAGGGTATACGAGATCGCCAAATCGCCACAATTTCGCCATCAACAATGCCCGTTTGCAGGTAATCATCTCGAAGCTTTCCTCCGGTCTCTCCGATCAAGGCGACCAGGATCGTGAGTGTCTGGTCCCGTCAACTCCTTCTTCAATGTCCTCAATTCCTGCATTTCAATGGGCTTCTCCCCCTCCATCTCCATCATTGATCATTCGTCCTGTCTCCTCCATTCATCCCTCAACTCCACCCATCTTCCATTTCCTAATCGTTAAGACAAAAAGACAACGTGCTTAGGCCTAACAGCCTATAAGACCTATAAAACTAAAAAGTATTTAAAACTACTAGATTAAACGAATAATAGAGCTTCAAAATAGAGCTTCAATAGAGCCGTCTTCAATTTGCTAATTGTTAGGACACATTCATTTTGATCTTCAAAAACTGCCCAGCTCTGATGGTACTTTTTCACTGTGTACTTTGTGATCAAATCTTGTAAACACATCCTTCCTGGTGTGCTCGAGTCGTTGCTGCAAGAAAAAGGAAGAAATCTGTCACATCACAGAGCTAAAACGTGTCGAGAAACGAGGAAAGTCGAGAAATCCAGGCATTACAAGACTTTTTCCTAAACTAAAAGACACTTTTTTCATCGCTAATTTTCAATCTTTTCTTTCTCTCATGTTACAACCATCGTAAACCCCGATTTCTTTGCTGTCAAAATCTCTTAGATATTCAATTTTTGATTCTCTTGGATCATCCAAATAATTATGAAAATAGAGAAAGTATTCCTGCATTTGATTTCAAGAAGAAACTTCATCATATTGATGTTGGAGTATTAAGAGAATACTTTCAAGACTCAAAGTTCAATGAGAGGGTCTATGCTTTGATCAAGAGTGATGGATATACACCCTGCATCCGCTTGATTGATTATGAAGGGAATCCAAAGACAGAATGGTTTGGGTTTGAGAAGGCGGCCAAATTACCAATTCCGATAACCCATAACTAATTCACTGGCCAATTCGACAAATATCAACCATCAAAGAACGCAGAGCTGAAAACCTTTGAGCGAGATCCTGTAGAAGGTGATCAATTGCAGTTGACTTCCATGACGATTCACTTTTTGCATTATATTTGCAAGATTCAATTTTCAGATTGATTCAAAAACAAGCACTGTAGAAGAAGACCCCGATCAAGAAAGCGAAAATTGCAAAATTCTTTATTTGCAAGAAATTTTCTTCTCTATTCTGTTGTTTCTCAAGAAATTCGACAAACACGAGATCTTCTAGAGAAAAACATGAAAAAGATCAGGTGGATTATGCTCAATTTTTTGACACAGCTAATCGAAAGGAGGTTTTTTAGGGATTTTTAGGTTTTTGAACTGAAACTAGTCATTAGGTAGTAGTTTGACTACATTACAATGAAGATACAATGAAGAAAAAGATTTACAAATAAAGAAGGTTTTAGCTCAATTTCGAAGGATACGTTGCGAATTCTTCTTTCGATTTGACGCCACCGAGTCTTTCTTTCGATTTTCCTAAATCAACAACCCTATTCGTCTCGCTTTGATCATCAATTTGGAGGAAGACCACGATGGATACGGATGGATTCAATAGATGTTCATGGGGATGATGAAGAGACTGAAGTGATAAACGATGAGTTCAAGTCTCCAACTGTGGCAGAAGAGTTCAAACCAAATCGGTACCAACCAGTGTTTTTAAGTAGCGTTTATAAAGT